ATACAGTGTAACTTCTTGAATTTTATTTAGTGTTCATGTTACTAGGCTGACAGAGTGCGGTTAAGAATTAAAATCAAGAAACTTCTAGAATTCAGAAACAATTTATTTTCCCTTTCCCCAGTAGGATAGAAATGCAGACATATTATCAAAACTACATTATTATTATGAAGAAAGCAAATTTTGGTAATCAGTCAATATTGGCTTGTTTTTAGCTTATGCTTTTAACAATTATGAACTGACATTATATACTATGCCAGATGTTAAAAAATAATTCCTAAAGATTAGGTAGTGCTTTTATTTTTATTCCTTATGAAGCTTTGCTTTTAATTTGCCCCTGAAACATTTTAGGCTCCATGTTAAATGAGCTCTGGTATAGCTTAGTGATTAATGCACTGAAGTATGAAATGGAATGAAATGTAACCCACCCTACTGGACAGTTGTAAAATAATTGCAATACCCCTGTGATATATTTTGAACATTTGATAGAAATTCTGTATAATTATTTACAATAAAAAGCAGTAGGTCAATAGTGTTCTCTTCCAAGCACTAGCTACAAAACAAAAGCAAGAAGCCACATCAGGGAGTGTTATTGATACCACAGGCCCAATCAGTCCTTCATTTGCATTGTGAATAATTTATATATTGCAGAGGAAAAAACAAAGAAAGTATTGGCTTTGGCATATTATTATTCAATTACCTTGGGTTTTTAAGAATAACTCCTAATTCTGAAACAACTGACAACATGATATATAAGACAAGGGTGGAGAACATTTTAAAAGGATTTTTTAAAAAAAAATATAAAATGTAGAAATCATCACTTCAGAAATGGTCTGCTTATAGTCATTTTTACATCTGTAATGTGCCTTTCTGCTGCACTTGTGAGTAGCTCTCCAAATTTAGTAATGTTATAAGGCATTATTGTAATCAGAATGTAGGAACTCAAATTGAGTGCCAGATTTATTAAAAATGGGAATAAACTGTTTAATACACAACTAACTTTTTTAATTCTAAAAGAATAGAGCTTGAAAAATTGTCAAGGCAGAGATGCTATTAGCCTTTCTATATAGGTAGTCCTTGTTTAATGATTGCCTTGTTTAATGACCGCAGTTATGACATTGATAAAAAGTATCTTTAAGACCAATCGTCACATTGACAATCTTCACAAGTCTGTAAAAAAAAGGAAGGCTAAATAAGATCGTAAGCACAGTGACCAAGTCGCTGTTCCCAGCTAACTAAATGAGGGGCACCTGTATTCCATAATTTAAAAAGAAACGGAGGAAGTCGAAAAAGTATAAATCTCCTGCTGTTTCCTTTACAGTCTGAAAACTTAAAGGACATCCCTTCTGAGCTTCTTTCTCCACCATTATGCAACTGTGGGATATGTTCTCTTATTCAAATATTTCCTAGGCCAGGGGCCCCAACCTGCCTATGTACAACTGGACCACGTAAGTGGCAGGCTGGCACACACACACATGCAGCCCCACTAGCGCTAGTGGTGGGCGCCGGTACTCACAGACTCACTCACACAAATGAAGCTGTGCGCATGCATGCGTGCCTGCCCCTCACACAAAACCATCCTCTCTCCCCCCCTTGTGCTAGGCCGCCAACCTGGAAAGGTTGAGGAATCCTGTCCTTGGCAACACCTTCTTCTTTCCCAAGGCCATTCCCACATACCATACCTTTTACATGCTGGTTGTCCAGTTTATGTCTTGTCTTCTGCCTCTCAAAGTCATCCCCATATACCTAGTACATGTATATACAGTGATCCCTCCTCCTGCTTTCTCCAACAACAATCCTCTGAGATATGCTGGGCTTAGAGAGGGGGACTAGCCCAAAGTTACCCAAGTGAGCTTCTGTGCAGCTGAACAAGCTTCTTCTTTTTACCAAGGGAGTGGACCTGTACGTGGATCTTCACAATTTTAGCAAAACACTTGTATTTGAGGCATACAATTAGTTTATCCACAATTCATGATATATATGATTTGCATTGCTATAGTAGAGTGAAACTTCAGAGAATTAGAATATTGATAGCTCAAATAGACAAAACGTTATGCACCCCAAACTTAGCAAGATTTGGTGATCTTAATTACAGGCTTTTTTTTAATTCTTTCACTGCTGTTTAACGTTAGGCTCCATAAGCACCATTTAGTTAAGCTATGAATGCCCTGATGCCAACATGAACTTGATTGCTGATCTCTGTAACTCAGCAATGCCAGTGAGAGAGATTTAAAAATCTTTCCCACTAAGGACAGAGAAATAAAATGAAACTCCATGCCTCTAGCCCAATTTTAGCAGCCCAGATACCCGAGGAAGCAGAGAATAGAAACAGCAAGAGAAAAGGCAAAGAAAAGCTGTGATTAAGAAAAGGTATATAGTGTAGCTCAATGCAGCACTGGTAATAGGGAAACAAGAAAAAGTAGAGATGACAGAAGTAGGAAAAGGAAAAGTCACCTTCTTCTCTATGAAGAAAGAAAGAAGTATGCTCCTGTATAAGCCAATTCCATGATTTCAGACTGAAACAAACCAAATCACCACATATTACCTTTAATATTTGCTTACCGTATTCACAAAATAAATTCATTCATTCAGAAATAGAATTCACACACACACACACACACACACACATATATACATACATACACGTACATATATACATCCAACACACACACACACACACACACACCCCTTTTCTGGCATAATAGAGGCAACGTTTCAAAACAATTAAATGGGAACAATTGCCCATATAATGTGTAGACCAGGGCTGCTAGCCAATCTTCCATATCAAACTCACGAGGTCACGTGATGTCGCGCAACGTATCGGGACTGTTTTGCCATTGCCAGCAATGGGGTGGGCACGGCTTCCGTGTGACGCGTCCAGCCCATGGACTGGCAGTTTGACACCCCTCTATGAACTCAGTTTGGCATTTTGCTAAGACTTCTTGTTAGCATAAGCAGAGCACAGCACTATGATGGTCAGACTTAAACTTCATTCTTCTGCCATGCATATTTTGCTAACAGTTTTACAGAAAGTCAAGGTTAGTAACGATCACTGCATTACACAGTCTGGACAGGAAACCTTAGAACAATGTAGTAGAGATTCCTAAACTTAATCTAACAAAACAATTGTTTCAGCAAAAATAATTATTTCAATAATAGATGTTATTTCTTCCTTTTAGCCCTACTGAGATAAAACCAGCAATTTGTTTTGGTTACATATATGTTATATTCCAGAATGATGATATTAGAAAATATGACAGAAATCAAAGATAATTACAAAATATCTGATGAATATTTCAGCTAAAAATCTGCAGGGGATTTCATTCTGAAATATGTAAGAATTATTTTGAGATATGTAGCATTTGTACTGTTACAAAAAAATTTCTGCTACAATAAATATAGTATAAAACAAAACATAATTCAGTAAGAATAATTCTACCTAAACACCAAAACTTGAGTTCAAAAAGAATATCTGTTATATCAGAATGTAGTCACTATCATAGGATAGATTTATCTAAACACAAAAGTTGAAAGATGAATATGTATGTAAATATATTCTTACTGGACGCAGCTACTTTACAAAACATAGTTGGCATTTCCCAAAGCAATCAACTTACATAGCAAGTGCAGCCAAGTGCTTTGGTAGGAAAAAAATAATAGAAAATATTTATTTTAGCAGGATACTGCAGGACTAGGAAAAATATGAAACTAGCAAACCTCTTGATGATTTATGGCAGATTGGCAAGAATCTACTCTTTTAAATTATATTGCTGAAATAAATACATTTGCAGCAACTGGAACATATATATATGGAAAAGAACCTATGAGTTCCACTCAGGTTCTAATTCTCAAAATAAATCCCTAGAATAGTTAACTTTAAATGAATGTTTTCTGCACTAGGGGCCAGTGGATCCTCACAGCTAAGAAAAAATAAAGTTGCATAAGTCTGTGCAAATCTTTTCAAGGAGGTGCTTCACAGGAACTTCAGCATGTGCAAAGTACTATTCTTTGAACAATATAAGTAGTCATATCTTTTTCTAGTTTCTTCAAAAGCCACTCACAAATCTCTATGATCTATGAAACTATAAAATAATATATACACTAAAGATGCTATGGAAGTAGATACCAATCACAGCACAAATAAGAGAAGTTGAGATAAGCAACTATAAACAAAACATATTTAAATTAAATTGGATTTTGGTTGCATCCATAGTATAATTGGCTCAACTTTTACTTAATGTGTTATATAATACTCTTCCCACTCCCCTATAAGATTTTTAATACTAAACCTCAGTCAACACAAACTACTGGCATTTATGAAACTTGGTGTTTGGCTTAGCAACAATTGTGAATTTGGCCAATGTGGCTTGTTCAAATGAATAAAATGCATTTCTGTGATTTCAGCCTGAGATTATTCAATCCTTAAATGAGCACAGTATTAAAGATGACAGAAAAGAAATAATTATGTTACAAATATCAAACTTATTTGTACCAACTGCACCAATCCCTATTAGGGTAGTATGCGACAATATTTTCTGGACTGACTACAGGTGCTGGAAATGAGAGGTATGATTTGGCAGTGAATTCTCCTCTTTCTTCAAGGGTCAGTGCCAGACTGTATTGATGGGGTGGAGAGGAATTTGACCCTATCTCCTTAGTATGTGTGGCAGCGGGCTCACATACTTCTCCCTGTTTACATGAGGCTACTGGATGAGGTTATTTGTCAGCACAGGGTCAGTGTCATTGGTAAGCTGATGTACTGATTGTATATATCAACCCTGGTGATATATTGTCAAAAGTGATATTGTCAAAATCTTGCCTTAGTGATTGGTGCTAAGAGTGTCTGGATAGGGAAGAACAGGCTCCACCCTGACAAAGCCAAGTAGCTTTATGTTCACAGTTCTCACACTCCCAGGATTTTTCTATCCTTAGCTCTGAATATAATCACACATATCCAAACTGAACAGGTATGTATTTTGAGGACTGTCCTGGACTTACAGCACCTGCTTCAGGGGCAAGCAGCAGCTGTGGTCAGGAAGGCTTTTGCATAAATCTGTCTAGTGGATGGATACCAATGTACAGTGTACCAACTGCACCAATCCCTAGATTGGTGGGCCTACCCACAACCATTCATCCTTTAGTCATTAATTGTCTTGATTACTGCACTATACACTCTGTATGAAGTCACCTTTGAAGGCCATTTGGAAGTTTTATCTTTTTAAAGTATCATTATTAGAAAGTAAGATAGTTGTAGTGATTCAATATCAGTATGTTCTGATGATTCCAAAGTCTCACTGGACAGGACGGAAATGCTGAAACATTTGCTACCTTTTCTGAATTTTCCCTTTCCAAGAAATATATTCCATCTGATTGGAAGTTATATTGAGTTCAACTTACATGGAAGATCATGAGTTCCATCTCCTGTATGATAGAACAAGCCTTACTATTACATCAGATCAGCTCTTATAATACATAAAGCAAAAGATGAAGAGGCCTTATTGAAAAGCAAAGTGGCTACACATATGAGTTATTCCAAATTATTCCTAATCCATTGCTCTTCAAAGGCCAATCCTTCCTGTTTTTCCCCCCAGATTGTCTAGATAAGTGAAAAGTACTTGGGCAGAAAGATGAGGAAAAATAACCAGGTGATCATCTCTGTAATTATTTGTAAAAATGTGCCAATTTAAATTTAAATCATGTTAAATTACGTAAAAGGAAAATTCAGTGGAATTATATAAAACCAAGTGCAGTTGATTTTAGATAGATGCTTGTTTTATTAGAATACAAAGTTACATGTAAGTAGTATTTGCTTCTTGGACCTTTGATGCATAATAATTCAAACAAGAGATAGTCCTAAGAAAATCATGTGCTAAAACTCAATGTACTAGGATAAGCAAATATATTTTCTGCTGTCTTTTAGCAGAAACATGGCTGGTCAACTCCTGAAACATGGCTGGTATTACCAATGATGAGGTATGCTGAGAAGAGTTGGTCAAATATATCTCAAAGACCCTAGGTTTGCCCTTTCCTGAGCTACAGGGTTTTTGTTTGTTTGTTTACTGAGCCTAGTATAGAATAAAGCGTTCTTATTAGGATAAAAACTTCTTTAGTTCATGCTATATAATCACTAGATCCATATATCCACAAATATGATCAGAAGGCATCCTGCTACAAAACAATAAAGCAACTGAAAATAAGAAAGAAAAGGTCCAGCAATTGGCATGCGACAATCTTTATATAGTACCATTGCTGAAGCTTATAAAGCATGAATCATGGATCACTGGAATGAGAAATTATTGGGAAATCCATGTTTTGTGAGCTTTCTTAAGGAAGAAGCATGATCTGAAAGTACAAAAAATAATAACATACTCCTCAGAAAAATCTAGTGACTCCTGCATTCAAAATATCACACAACTTGACATCCTACAAGAGATTCTTACTTTATTTCAAATTCTTAAAAAGTGATTAAATGATAGGAGGTGGTATTGTGAATTATAAGCTATCCTTACGAATATGATTTACATTCAGTCTATACTGTAGAGGCTACTGCAAAGGTGCTGTCCAATGAGTATTTAACATAATCAGTAGTTACAAACAACACAGACACCTTATAATATCTAATATAGAAATAACATCCATTTATGGAAGGCACAATGTAAATAAACACTTATCTATTTGAAATTTCTAAAAAATGGCATATATGAAGAGAAAGCTGGTAAGGAAAGTATAAATTCAACAAACAGATGAAAACCAAAGCATTCATTTTTATTACTTTCAAAAAAGAAATGTTATGTTGACAGCATAGTCAAACGTTCCTCAAAATGATTACTTACAGTGTACTTAGCTAATCTTTTCTAATACCTTCAGAATTTTTCTTTAATCATTTCTTATCTTAGAGAGGCAAATATGTAAAATCAATAGGGGCTAATCCTTCAAATTATTTTCATTCAAGTTCTACTGAAGTCATTTATATGGGCAGTTAAAAGATAAAAAAAAAATGCCCTACTAGAAAACAATTGAAGAAAATCTTATCCCTAACCCAGAAAATTTGTATGCTATTTTAAGTCTACTGTTCATTGTCTTTCAGTGCCTCTGATTAGCCTAAGTTTATTGCATAGTCACTTAACTTTAAAAAGTACAGGGCAGATTGTGGTGGAGATTTTCTACAATATTGATATAGGTTTATGACATAACATCTTCTTAGTCCCACACTTTTCAGCTTCCAAACTGTTTTAAAAATTACATAAATTATATAATTTTAAAATATAATAAAACACAATCTGTCAACTGATTTGTAAAATTATGTAAAAAAGAATTTATTTTTAACTTTCAACATTTGGGAACTTGGTAAATTAGATCATCAACTAAGTAGATTAATTCTATGTTCAATTATCAGAGCTGAAATGATTTAAAGTTGTATAAAAATATCGCAATATCTCACGTCCAGCAATCACCTTTAAACTGACAGCAAAGAGCAACAGCAAATGAAGTGTCCACATGTATGGAAATGTTCTGTTAAAAGGAAAGATCTGTATTCATGAACAGTTAACAATTGTAGCAGGCCTACACAGAACTATTTTGTACACATAGGGGAGGTTATGTGCAAAATATACACATTAAAAAATTAAACAAGTTTGGATTATATTCTTTTAAATTCAGGTAAATCCTCAGATTTATTGGATGATTATTTTTGAGTAAATATAAAAAGATCATTTCAGTCTATATTTAAAGTTAATACTAGTAGACAATCTAATCACATTTTAAAATCTATATACGATTTCACATCTTAATTCTTTTTATCATAATATCCTTACATGTTCAATGAAGTAGAACTCTTTATCTAACATCAATAAACCAGGGTAACCAAGAATTAGCTGAGTATCACTGTCAAATGCAGAAATCAGGTTAACTTCCTGGAAATAGTTTTGACTACATTCTGGAAAAAACATATTAGATACTAGAAAAAGTGAAGGCCGGTATAGCATTAGAGTTCTTATTTCTGTTTGGAGATTGTTATTGAAGTTGCATTATTTAGCTTTCCAAAACTTTTACATATTTAAGTCAGCAGCAACTACTGATTTCACTCTTGAGGATACAGAATACCATATAATCTTACAACTTTGCCCTTGATAAAGCCACTGTGAAGTTATCATCAAGCAGTTACTTCTAGCACAGAGGTATCATTAGTACATTCCCAGACTTTTACTAGTGTAAACCATCTCATGCATACTTTGGGAAGTAATGGGATTTCCAAGACTTTATCTGTCTCTTTAGTACTTACAGTCTCATACAAACAATAGATAAGAGAAAAAAATAACTAGGGTTACTGATCCTCACATCTTCAGGAGCTGTAATGTTTGCTTTCACTGAGCATGGCAAGAATTACCTTTATAATCTCCTAACAAAAACACAGCAAAGAATTATCAAATTAAAATATGTGGCAAATATTTCCACATATCAACTTAATGTGAGTAGACTCAGACCTAGGAGCCACACTCAACATCTATGTACAGTAGAGAAGATTCTAAATCTTAATTCCACGTTCCAGCAGGAGTAGCAACCAACAGATCATTCTGGTTTTAAAACAGCTGTCAGGGAGGATATATGTTGGAGGGGTACTTAATCTAGATCAAGTGATCGCATCACATGATGCTTGGGGAGCTAGCGCGGAGTGAAGTCACTTCGTCCTGGGGCAGGCCAGCAACCGGGGCCCCCGCTTACCTTTGCCTCCCCCAAATCGGGCTCCTCCTCATAGTAGCCCTGCCCGGATTCGTAGGCAGCGGCTATCGCAGGCTCGCGAGCGAGTAACAGCACGACAGCAGCAGCAGCCAGATAGTAACCCAAAGAGAATAATCCCAGCAAGTGCATTGTGCAAAAGGCGGCAAGCGCGACCGCAGAAGCCGTAAAGACAGCGTGTGGTTGACGCTGTGGGGCTCCCGTCCGGTCCTGGCACTCGCTTGGCAGACCTTTTAAGCAGCGGGTTCCCCGGGATGGAGCAAAGGAAGGGGCCACGAAATCCACTCCCGCCCCTTCTCCCGCTGGCTGGCCCGCTCGCTCGCTTGCTCGGCGGTCGCGTTTTCTTTTTTCCTTCCGTTTGTCTTCTTCCAAAGTTGCGTGGGGATGATTAGGAAAAAAGGGACAGTAAGAAACCGGACATCCGAACCGGGCTCCCCCGGGAGCTGAGAGGGGTCAGCGGAGTTTCCAAGCCAAAAGAAAGGTGGAAAGTATCCTCTTCAGCCCCCAGCCCCACCAGGGGGCTCTATGCCAGCCAGCTGAGTAGGGGCAGTAGCCGGCTTCAGTTCCCTCCTCGCTTCTTCGGGTGCCTTGTCAGTGGCAGCAGCGCTAGCAGAGGACGGGCAGCGGGAGCCTCTCTAACGCGTGGAGCTGTGCGGCAGCGGTAACCGCAGGGGCGGGCGGGCATGGCTAAAGCGCCCTCTGTCTGAGAGCGAGTGGCTGGCGAGGGAAGGAAAGGGAGGGAAGGAAAGAGAAAGGACGGAAGGCGCCCGGGTCGCGTGTTTCTTGAGTTCTCACCCCTCCCTGCCTCGCCGCCTTTCCCTCCTCCTCTTCCTTCGTCTGTGCTGCACTTTCCCACAAGTAGCCGCTCGCCTCGCAGACTTTTCCCCAAAGACGCGAGGAAACGCGAGAAGGGAGGCTCGCGCGCGCCGGGCCCGGGCCAAAGCTAGTCGAGAAACCCGAGCCACGCGCTGCTGAAGTGCACGCGCTTCCTTCGAAGCTGCTGCTGCTGCCCCTCCGGGAAAGAGATCTGCAGCTCGGTCTCTCTACTGCTCAGACTCGCCGGTCTCGGGTTATTGGGACCTTAAGAATGCCGCGAAGGAGGGAAGGAAAGAAGACGCCTTATCCTGCAGCTGCACCTCTCCGCGGCCCAGGATCCAGGTCTTTCTTCCGCTGGACCGCCTGGCGCCGCCCCCGCCAGACCCCGTTTGTCCCGAGGGCGGCGGAGCAGCTAGGCTGTTGATCACAATACCTGTCGTTACCTTTGAACTTAGCAGAATAGTGCATTTCTGATATACTGGGAGCCAATCTCAGAAGATGCTTATGCTCTCTTCCGTATGTCTTTCCAGGCTTTTCGACTGGTTTTTATTGTAGCCTTGCAGTACACTAATACTTTTACCTGGTTTTAGGCATTGTGCATCAGTAAGGACATGGTGTAGCCATTCTGGCTATGCCATGCAAGAGAAATTAGAGGACTGATAAGAAAGGTTGTGAAAGCTTCTGCATGTTCACTTAATAAGATTTGAGCAATGCACCATTTGGGGTGAATTTTAATCTATGTAATATCTAATAGTAATCCAGTTTATTCATGCAAATAAAACCCTGTTAGATCCAAACTCTGTTGTCCAAAGGTTAGACTTAAAAATTGTATGTAGACAAGCATCACTTGCTGAGACCTTTTTAGATGCACAGTCATGAGTAAGACACTTCCCTTACATCCTTAATATGGAAGACCTTAGAAGCTGGAGAAATGGCAGGACATGATAAGTGTGTGGCAGAATGAGGCTTTCTAAAAATTTGCTCTTGATAGAGATACAAACTGTTTGTTTAGAGGATGTTTGGTTCACTAGGCTGTCCAGATTATGTGAGTCAGTGGAAATCTTGTTATTATCTCTGCTTGCTCATTTTTTCTTTTTCAACTGCAAGGATTGTATAAAAGCAAAAATAAATAAATAATCTCCCACTTTGCCCTACATGTGGACTTACAACCACAATTGGGACTGTCATAAATTGAGTCAGGCCCCATTTTATGACTAATGTTATGGCAGTTGTTAAGCGAATCAGATAGCCAGTAAATAAATCCAGTTTCTCCAATGGAGAAATTGGCAAAAAAGGTCACAAATCACATGGCTGCAGGATTTAAAATCAGTTGTAAATGCAAGCTGGGTGCCAAGTGCCCAAATTGCAATCACGTGACGGGGGGTGGTGCAGCAGTCATAAGTATGTGTACAAGTCGTAAATCCCTTTTTCCAAAGCTATTGTAACTTTGAACCATTTAAACAAATGGTCATAAATTGAGGACTACCAATAGTTGTTTTGGAACAAGATTTCCTCGTTAGGAAAGATGCACACTGGATTAACCAGGAGAAACTATCCTAATCTTGGATTGAGGAACATATATGGCAGCTCTCGAAACGTTTGATAAGGAAATGTACTTTCCCCATCAGAGACAAACAACATAACAAAAAGCAGTCCTATATCTTCTGCAAAAAGGTTATTTCAGAGTCCTCCAAAGTAGGGCAAAGGTTGTTCATGTTTAATATTCTAAGCAGCATCATTTAAGTTTTCAGTATCTGGGTTCCATCAAGATAGTGTTCAGTTATAAAAAACCAAATAATAAGTAGAATTGTTGGCAATATTTTCTACTGCTAGGCATTCAGTAATGGTTGCAGTTGCGAAAGCTCAAACCAGAAATATACTCCAAATAATTTGTACAAGCATTTATGTTTGTTTTGGTCCTAAGCCTACACCTTTCAGAGACTGCTTCAGTCCTGGCCTCTAGGAAATCCATTGCTGAGATGCTCAGCTTCATTTGCCTCAGGGCACTGGAGATTGGCATGTCCTCCTTCTCTGCTGCCCAGCGCTGGATCTTTTCTGATGTGCACAGAAGGGTTGTAACGTATGTGCTTTTTCTGTGTACCAGAAATACTGATCTTGAACACAGCTTTACAACCTAATGATAATATTTACATTTTAGTGCTATTCTGGATGAGAATAACATCTTTTGCATAAAGTTGAACCACACTCTTATAAACAATATATGTTTTTATCTATCTGGCCTAACTCAGGGTCTAGTTGGCTCATTTTGGAAAGAAAGCCCAGAACTTCATATACCACAGAAGGTATAATTTCTTTCCTAAAAAAAAAAGGGAGAGGGGTTGTTAATTCTTTTAGGAACCAAAGATTTAGGTAACAGATCATCAGTTAGACAAATATCCAGGTTCATGTATTTCCTTAGCGATTGGATTTAAAGAACCACAGGTATTTGGCATTCTAATGTTCTTGCTAGATGAGAAACATCGGGTAGCACAAAATCCGGTTGCCTGTCTCAATAGGATTGAGATCACCAGAGAATTTTTATCTACTTTCTGCCATTTGCACTTATTCAATTTGATGTGCTGATTTTGTCTAAATAAAACCATAAATGGTCTAAGCTTAAGTTTTCTTATAAATTACTAATTACTTCCATGCTTTAATACTAACTAAAATAGTGAAGTGGTAAAGGTTTGGAAAGAGACAAGAAACTACACCAAATAATATAAGACAGAATAATTTATTTCTATGCTATCTGGTTTTAGAATTTTATCTCCATATTTTTCTTTTTTTTAAATACTTTCTAAAAAATATTAATTTCTTATTGTTTTGGCATTTCTGACAAAAATAGATATCATGAATAAATATTGTTAAGATAAAGTTGGTTAACATTGAAACAATAATAATATGTAAGTATAATTTATTGAATATATATTAAATATGTTAAATATATTACTGAATGTATTTAATATTCAGCAATATTTATATATTATTGTACATGAAGATAGTGCTATATCATTCACACCTATATCTCAGTAACATGATTCAGAGAAAGCAGGTTGTTTCAAATAAATATTTTTTCATTTAGGTATAGTTCTAATAGAAACATAGTTAACTTATTGTCATAAGTTTGTAAAGTGAATAGCTAATCTGTTTAAGTATATTTAAAGAGCCTTTTAAGATCAGTAGAATGTAGCAGCACACACACACACGGGTACTGGTAATGATAGCAGTGTTCCAATATCTCAGGGGCTGCCACAAAGAAGAGGGAGTCAAGCTATTTTCCAAAGTGCCAGACGGCAGGACAAGAAGCAACGGATGGAAACTAACCAAGGAGAGAAGCAACCTAGAACTAAGGAGAAACTTCCTGACAGTTAGAACAATTAACCAGTGGAACAACCTGCCTCCAGAAGTGGTGAATGCTCCAACTCTGGAAGTTTTTAAAAAGAGACTGGACAGTATAGGGTTTCTTGCCTGAGCAGGGGGTTGGACTAGATGACCTCCAAGATCCCTTTCAACTTTGTTATTGTTATTAAATACATTTCTAAAAATACTGTATATAATGTCTCACTTTGCTTAATTTAAGATTTAAACATTTAAATGATGTTAAGAGTTCCTATCAAGGGAAACTATGAACTACTATTGAAATCCAAACTTTTTAATCATGCTACTATTGTATTGTACAGTAGGCAAATATAAAGTACATTTCTCTGTGCGGTTTAGTCATATTATGTACATATTAATATTGTACACTACAGTAGGCAACTATCTAGTATATTCCTCTGTATGATGTAGTCATATTATCTGATATGACCACTTTTTGTTCAAATACATGGTTATTTTAAAAGTAGGATATGTGAATTATAGGAAACATTGGATTAGGAAAAAAAGATGAAAGAGCAAAGGAAAAAACGTATTAATTCTAGTAGCACCACAAATATTTTACTTCACTTAGTCAAATATGAGACTAGATGCTTAAGTATAAGACCCTTTATAAAGTCTTTTGGTTATGCTAAATATTAAGAACATTAATTGCATCTGAATGTCTAAAGAGTTATGACTAATCTAATATAAACAAAATAATTTGCTTAAATTTCAGTAGAAATTAAACAGTATTTAGGTTACCTAAGATACTCTTTAGACTGTTCCAAGATAAGAATGTTGTTAGGATGCTTTTAAAATTGACAAGAAATGAGTGTAAGATATATAAATTCACAATTTCTGCTATTTAAATTTTGTAGGTCAATTCCATAATTCTGAGGATGAATTTTCCTAAATCGAGTGACACAATATTAACATTAATAGTAGCCCAATATTTCCTCCTGTTTCTTAATCAAACACGAATGATTATTTTTACATCATTCTAATTTTAATGATATAATTATCACTGCAAGTCATATTAAATGTTCAATTTGGAAAGATGTAATATTCAGGGGTTACATGATTTAAAAATATTTGTTAACCATTTTAAAAGATTTTTATGAAATGAGAGACCTACAGGGTTCC